GATGTTCCTGGCCTCCTCCAATGCTGGGGACTCTGATTAACCCTTTCCATTCCGTACCCTTCACTGGACCTGTTCAGTTCTGTCCAGATGCCGAGAGAACAAAGCGGCCTTGTGGAGTTGAGACCCCGGACATTCATCAAGTGGTGGCATTTGGGGACCACAGGCTTTCATGGAGGAGCTGGAACTTCAGACACTGGCAGTAACTTTGCATCTTGTTCAGAACCCCACATGGAGACTCAACCTGGAGATTCCAGACGGAGTTTGTGGTACCCTCCACACAATGTCAAGTCAGATGCAGGAGGCTGAGAAGGTCCAGTATCCCCAAAGCAGGCATCCCAAAGTCTTTAACCTCCACTTGGAAAGCCAGCCACTTGCGGGTGCAGCAAAATTCTCTACTTTTCAGAAATAAGTTGGAGTGAGGAACTCTCTCTGAAGACAGTATTAGCCATTATCCCACTAGGATATTGTGGAAGTAAGTGAGGCAGGTTTAATCCATTTAGGGAGCCAGGAACTCAATTTACTCTTCTTGTTGGTCAGCTGTTAGTAACCATGTTCTTAGAAAAATGAGATCTACAGTCGTGTATCTTCAATAACAAGAAGCATGATGCTTTCCCATGTTTTTCTAACTGCCCTAAACAAGAAAATTGTACCAGGCCCAAGGGGCCAGCCTTTCTTAAACAGAAAAACAAAAAGCCAAAACCAAAATCTAAGGAAAATGTAACTGAGGTGTTTCTCTAGAACTGCCCTGGAAGATATTTTGACCAACAGAAATCATACTGCTTCAAATATAGTTACAGAGCAGGCAGTCCTTACACACACGCCCCCACACACATACACAGGAAGAAATGTTTTCTTGAAAGTTTAGCTGTTCACTACATTCCCTCTGGTTATGCCTCAATTTCTAAAGTATTCAGACTTCATTTCTTTGGGTGGTATTTTTTTTTTAATTTATTTATTTTCTTATAATCTACAAAGTATCACTCAACATGTACCTCAGAGTGGACGTGAATCAAGAAAGACGTGTGGAAGGTTCCATTTCCAACCCCATGTGCATGAATTATTTGTCCTGGTTGTTAATCTGTCATAGTGTTAAAAGCCTGATTTACAAAGGCTGGAAGACTTTTGCAGAACAAGGTATTGTATGTTTTGTATGGTTAGGCTTATTTATAAATAAAACTAGTTTGCTTTTCTGACTGCAATTTTCTAGTTGCACAAGGATGATTTTCTGAGTTTGCAGTTTCGAAGTGGGAGAGGTAAGCACGAGGAAACAATTTCTTTTTACAGTGATGTGAGCTCTATGCTCATCTGGATTTAGTTACTTCATAAGGTAAATATCGCTAAATGTGCATTGGGATCTTTGGGGATCTGAGGCACTGGACGGGTGAAAATGGTCTACTGTGAAATGCTAAAGAATGTCAAACAACTGAATTCGTTTGCAGAACTAATTGAGTTAATCATGGCATTCTGTAAAGTGGAGATTAATATGAAAAAAACGTTAAGTATTTTCAGTGAAATTTGGGGTACAGTTAGCTTATTTTAGTTAGTATAAATTTTAGAGTTTTTATCCCAGGAATTCAATTAAAACAGAGCCTTCTGAAAAACATGTGTTCTCTCCAATGAGTAATGTCCACTAATAAAAACGTAAGTTTTGAATTTCATGCTAATTACATTTTTAAATAATGAAGTTTTTGTAATTATTTTTATTTAAAGGCAAAATATCTGTATAGATAATAGCCAATGCTAATAACCAAACTGCTTTAAAAATTAATGAATATTAATGAAGTTCATGAATAGCACAATACTGCCCCTGCCTGCCTCAGGAAAACAAATGTATTGACTTCATTCTCCTAAAATAACAACCCTTAGTTATGGATGGTTAAAATAATTTTAATGTTAAAAAGATTGTAGATAATGCAATGTTTGTGATTCATAACACTCTAGCCCTGTTTACTAGACTTAGATCTCTTCCCCAAAACTATTCAATCTGCTTTATCTTTTTACATAGCTGGATGCTATTTCTTTTCAGTAATTTTGCCATCTCAAGACATTCCTTCCTCATTTTTCTAAGTTCCCCTCCCCCCTCATTTTAGTAGTCCACGTGAGCAGCGTGGGGTTTTCAGGCCTTCATTTATATTTGGTATATAGATAATAGCATCATTAGTCAGCGCTTTCATTCATCTAAATTTGTCTAAGCATATTGGAAGCTGCCCATGAAATTTTCCAATGAAAGTGACAAATGGATGTCAATCAAGTGGCCCCGCCCATTTCAACCTTGTTTTGTATGATGTGTGAATATTTGTGTGTATTTCTTCCATAAAGATAGGCTAGGCTATTTTTTGATCTGGACATCTGCCTGCGAAGGCAAGTTTCCCAGGCAGATCACTGGTTGGCATTAAACTCAATCTGCAAAATTTAACACCAGATGAATGACAAAACAAAAGAAATAGTATATGAAATTAAAGAATGGCAGCATTCATTTTCTTAAGATAAATAACGTTTGATGCTCTAAATGTGAAGACTACAATTTTACTTCAAATGAATTTCTAATGAGAAAGGTAAAATCATTTTAGTAAGCCAGCAAATTTGGGTCAAAATGAAAGCAGTTCTGAGAGAGAGAGAGGTGGGGGGGGGAAGGAGAAAGAGAGAGAAATCCCTGCTTCCCATAGGGGTATATGGGGTTTTCTGTCATTAAAAAAATACACGTATGTATGTATGTGTGTATATATATATACATATATATATCTTCCATAAAGATAGGCTAGGCTATTTTTTGATCTGGACATCTGCCTGCGAAGGCAAGTTTCCCAGGCAGATCACTGGTTGGCATTAAACTCAATCTGCAAAATTTAACACCAGATGAATGACAAAACAAAAGAAATAGTATATGAAATTAAAGAATGGCAGCATTCATTTTCTTAAGATAAATAACGTTTGATGCTCTAAATGTGAAGACTACAATTTTACTTCAAATGAATTTCTAATGAGAAAGGTAAAATCATTTTAGTAAGCCAGCAAATTTGGGTCAAAATGAAAGCAGTTCTGAGAGAGAGAGAGGTGGGGGGGGGAAGGAGAAAGAGAGAGAAATCCCTGCTTCCCATAGGGGTATATGGGGTTTTCTGTCATTAAAAAAATACACGTATGTATGTATGTGTGTATATATATATACATATATATATACACACACACACATGTATATTGAAATGCCCATACACGTTGTACTCTGTGTGTGTGTGTTATCCTATACTCCAGCTCCTATTTGTTTTCCTTCTTTGTTTTTAATAACCAGCCCCACCTCTAGTGCTATTTGATGGGTGAATGTGCTTACTAGGACTTGATGCCAGTTTTAATCCAAGATTACTTTGACTGCACTTGAAGTCTATTGCTGTTTTATAACCTGTAACATGTTTTTACATGTTTAGAAGTGCTGCTGCTGCTATACAAAATTCTGTGTTGATATTGTAATGAGTTTATGTGTTTAGCCAAAAAGTGCAGTATGCTAAGATTAGATGGTAAAGATTCTAAAAACCTAAACGGGTTAGTAAACCCTTGATAATAATTGTAGCTTTATGGATAAAAAATACTTTTAACATTTTAATACTGCATCGTCATTTTTTCCTGAAGTTATTATAGAATTTCTTTGTCCATAAGGAATATGAAAGAAAAGTTTCTAATTCAAAGTTATTTTATTTGGAAATGCTTTGGAGTGAAGCTAATCTTTATACCCAGGACTACAAATTGCAATTTCACTTAGCATTATCCATCGCAGGATGTTTAATTTTAACTCCTGTGACCCAAAGAATTTTTAGTGACTTTTAAAAACTGAAATGTGGAAAGTATCTCCAGCTCATTGCAAATGTGGGAATTCAATAAATAATGCTCTAAATGACCATTTATCGTATGACTTCTTGTTATGATAAGTAGACATGAAGAAGTTATCAACTAAATTGTGGGTTTAAAAGTGCGGGATAGATTTTCATTGTGGGATATCTTTTCATTTTGCAGGATATCTTTTCATAATTGTCATCATGATCATTATATTTTCACATTTATTATTATTTATTACTGGTCTACCGGTGATTTTCTTTCTGAATTTGCTGAATATAAAGGTCAAAAGAGATTTTTTCGAATGGCCCATTCTGCAAGCTAAACTTGATTTCTAAAAGCCAGACTGGTTATCTTTCTGTTTATATATGGAAACAACAAATCCTGAATTAAGAAAAAAAAAATCTAACTCTCTCACCTATGATTTTGGAAACAGCAATATTTTTTCATATACGGATTTATGTCAAAGAGCTAACTGCCTTGTTCGAGGAGGGAAAAGGAAGTATTGGTTTTGTTAATAAACAATACTAACCTAGCTCAGAACTACAGCCGGACGTTAGATATGGAAAGGTTTAAACTGTTCTAACTTACATTTTCAGATACGTAGCATGTGTGATGACCACCCATCTAGTGGTAAATAGCATGTTTACTTTTCTATAATTTTTTCTGAACCAATTTAACTTTGGAGATCTACATGTGACGCAATCCTTGTGCCGAACAGTCTGGTGTGGGAATTCTGACCTAGCAGGAGCCTTCAGCCCTGTCGTTCTTTCTCCCTGTTGGGGGCTCCTCCTCGTCCCATAGTTGACCCCCCTATGGGTCATCTTCTATTGGCCATTCCCTTTAGTTTGCCCCCATTGGACACCCTTTGGTATCCCATTAGGCAGCTGTTGGGCTGGACACCACCCGAGAGGCATAGATGGACAGGTTTAGCCTCACTTACAAGCTCTTTCAGGCTAAAATTAGCCAGGTTTTTCCCTCTTCCAAAACGCTATTTTTACCCAAAGTATCTTAAGGATGGAGAAGCCCTAGAAGAGGCCCATAAACTGAGGCTGCATTCAGGCTGTGGTTTCTGGAGAATCTACCACCCACGGCCCAAAAGCCCTTTGAAATGTTTTATGATCTTGGAGGGCTCAGAAGGAATCCCCAAATGCCTTTAAAAGTCCCAGAACTCTTACCATTTAGTGAGTGCTTGCACCACATTGGGTTCTTTCCTGTAATAAGAACATGAAGAAGATTTGGGGTAGGCTTAGAAAAATTATCAGGATAGATATTTCCCATCTCACCATTCCAAGAAGACTGGAGGACATGCAGCTGAAGGGACAGATACCCAGTCCAGACACTTGACAACTCCCGGGCAGTGGGCCAGGCAGTGGGCATAGCTCCAGAGGCCGGGCCCATGCTTGGGGCACTTGGTGGTTTAAAGCTGGCAAAAATGAACACTCCTGCCGGCAGGAAACCGAGTTGAACAGATTGGGAAAGAGCAAAAACAGGCTGCCCAGGAGGCAGTCTCCCTGGACTCAAGCTTTCAATTGTCAGTGACAACCCAGGGTAGAGCAGATTTTGGGTTTCTTCCCGCCTGGGGAGCTGGCAGAGGTGGGACAGAGTCCAGGCAGCATGCAGCCCAGGAGTACACTGCACCGCGAGTCTCAGAGGAGAGGCTTGGCATGTTCCCCTCCGGGACAAAACCTTGGCCTAGCAGACTTTATCAACTTAAGACTTCCCAGACCACCTTTGTCTGGGCTCTGGCATGCCCTCTGAGTGCTGGGATGGGTTCAGGGGTTTCCCACAAGTCCTGATGCTTTATAATTTCTGTAGAATGTTAGAACTTCCTTGCCTAAGGATTTATCTCAACAAGTTTCTTTTTTCAAGTTTATTTTATTCATAAACAAATAAGATAGGATGTATGTGTGTGTGTATGAGAAAGAGAGAGAGACAGACTCTGGACAGATCCCATCACTCCCAGATGCCTTCTTCATCCCTCTTGTCCCTCTGATCTTGGGCCCATGCATGTGTCTGATGTGCCTGTAAGCCTCTTCCAGAATCCCAATCCTGGGTGGGCCATGTGGCTTCCAATATGGCATTTCAGTTTGCTATAGACTATGCTACACCATGCAAGGACTATCTCAGAAATATCTTTAAAAGTAAGGGGACTAGTAAAATTTTCTTAGTCTATTGTCTTATCTCTTTTTTTTAATACTTATTCTAATTTTATAAGAAAGAAAGAAATGGAAGGCTGTGAGAACTCCCTCCTCCTGTTGCTAAGCACACTCATGCGTTTGATGTGCTAAATCACCACAGCAATTTCTCAAGGGTTAGAAGATGGAAAGTCAGCCCTACTTCCTACTCCCAGAGGAAGGCAAAATAGTTCTGAGTTTGAGAGAATTCTGGTTGTGAAGAAACCCAGGCATTGGGTCTGAGCTGAGAGAACAAGGAGGCAAGTGGAGCTTTGGATGTGCAGAAATCCATGTGAGATTCAGGTTAATAGTAGGGGGTTTGAGCTGGTGGCTCATATTAACAAAAGAAAACAAAAACTGAGAAACATGTCATGTAAAGATAGACAGTAAGACCAAATACTTAGGAATCCTCTCAGACTCCCTAAACCAGTAGTTTTGGTGGAGAGGGGAAGAATGTATTCCATAATCTCAACGAATTTCATAAATGATTTTTATACATGCTGAATTTTGAGAACTACAGCCACACAATTTTATTATCCTTCCATTGTCTCAAAGCATGGAGGAAAATGAAGATGTCATTTAAAGTCACTCCTCTGTTATTTTTGGGAAGCATTGTAATAATTTTGCAGGAAATCTTCCTTCCTAGTTGTCTTCATATAGGGCAGATTTTATATGGTAGTATTTGGCAGCAGAGGTTTGCTGAGAGGTTTAAACATGTCCATTAATAAATATAATAGCAAAAATTATGTTACTCAATTTTATGAGTGCTTAGATATATTAATAGCATCCCCATCTTCCAGATGGGGACACTTGGGCATAGAGAGGTCAGCACTTTCCCAAGGTAAAGTAGACTAGTGGTGTTGAGTGCGTGTGCGTGCATGCCCAAAATCCCAAGAGGAGAATGGAGGAGAAGGGACTGTGGCATGGCCATCCCTTCTTGGGGGTGATTTCTCGCTTTCTGTCTCTCTGTCTGTCTGGCAAGCGCACACACCCTATAGCAAAAACCTCCAAAAAAAAAAAAGAAGAAGGAAGACGAAGACTAGGAAGACTAGTGACATTAAGATTAAAACCCAGGCATGTGGCTCTGAATCACTCTGTCCTGGGCAGAAACTCTGTAAATTTAGTTTTCTTGTGGCTAACCTAGGGAAAATACCTATTTCCAGAAGGTATGAGAATTAGAGATTTTAAATAGATAACATTCTTGACACATCATAGTCACTCAATGAATGGTTGCTCTTGTATATTACCGTTGATGGAGTAAGCCAAATATTGGGTAATCCATACAGAAATACCCAGGAATTCATTGGACTTTCTTAACCACTTTATTGGGCCTTCCCACCTACTTCATCCTTAATTTGTATTAGAAAGTCATTTTGTGCTCTCTACCCAATGCTCTAATTTGGGATCACAGTATATGGAAGGTGAACAAACCACAAGGCTAGAAATTGCTAGGAGTATCTAGCACCAATACAAATGAAATTTGAAAATAATTTCTGAACACCATAGGCAAATGGCTGAATTTTTCTTGACTAATGTATATAACATCCAAGGGACATTTATTTCCTTTTTTTCCCCCCTAACATTTGTTTATTTATTTGTTTGTTGTAATTTTCAAGCCACCAGGTCCAGGACTTGAACCTTGGTCAGCTATGTAAGAATTGAGTGTGTTAACCAACATACTACCTGGTGGCCTGGGACATTCTTGAAAGAATAAACATTTATGATGCCGCATGGCATCTCCAGAAATTGATTGGGTTATATCATTGCTTTCTGAAGGCCGTAAAGTCTGTCTACTCTGCTTAGATCACCTCTTTCAGGCAGACGTTCCAATGCTTTCCAATGTACCTTCCCACATGTTGTTGCCTATACTTAGAATACATTTTTTTCTCTCTTCTTGGAATACTCCAAGTCATTCTTCAAGGCTGCATTTCAAATGTTGACTTCTGTGTGAAGTCCCCTCTTTCTCCAGGGAGAATTATTCTCCTCTGTGTTCCCATAGAACACAGTTCTACTGGGTTTTAAGACTATTATAAGCTATTACATTGAAGTGATTTGTTTTTGAGTCTCATATTTTGTGGCTCCCATGCACAAGAGCATATAACTTGCTAAGAAAAAAGGAGAAGATTGTATTTGTTTTGTGAAGACTTCTGGGCCTAGGATCGTGTTTTTATGTATGTCAGGAACCAGCACAGTCTATGACACCTTTTAAGTGCTGTATAAATAATTGTTAAATGAATAAAAAGTTTAAAGTGATGTCAATTTTTTTATTAAAGGGAGTTTGATTGTTACGACGTCACCTGAGCAGTTTCTGGTGGCCCGACCTAGGAGTTCTTAGTTGTTTATTATAATTGAAGAATGAACTCAAAGAAAGAAATTTGCCTTCGCGTACATACATATTTTCCTCTCTCATGTGTTGTGGTGGAAATCATGTTTAAGAGCATGATCTGGGACAGGTTAAAGTAAACCAACCAACCAACCAGCCAGTCAGCCAGCACCAGCTGGAACAACAGCTGCAACTGCTTAACTAGGAGTAGACACACCCAGAGTAGGTGGTCTTGGTTTAGTGTCTTACCTGAGATTGGACGGAAGGATGAATTTAGAACATTTTAAGATCAAAATGTTTGTTACTCAATTTTCAGTAGTCTCTTGTTCTGAACTATCCCACATTTCCCCCTTTATTATTCTCAAACTTTATTTATTTATTTATCTATTTATTTATTTTTGTTTTGTTTCTTTTTTGCAGAGAGGTTTTTGCTCTCAGGTGCATGTGCTTGCTGGTGAGACAGAGAGAAACAGAAAGTGAGAAATCACCCCCCAGAGTGGATGACCATGATGCAATCCTGTCTCCTCCATTCTCCTAGCAGGATTTTGAGCACACACGTGTGCCTGGCGTGAGTTTTAAGCCGCAGGGTCCAGACTCAAACTATGGTTGACTACGTGGGAGTTCAGCGATGTAAACCATTATGCCATCTGCAGATCCCTCAAACTTGATTTTTAAGAGTATTTATTGTACGTATTATTATTATTTAATTTGACCAGAGAGAGAGATGTTGGGGAGTGAGAAAGCAAGCCCACTACTTGGGCTAAGTAGTGTATGGAGTGTGAAGTGTGAGAGAGAAATGAAATAAGACTTATTCTTCTTCTTTTTCTTTCTTTCTTTTTTTTTTCTTTTGGCCAGAACAAGCATATCATCAAAGACAGTGGTATCCTATAGTTCCATGTGGTGACTAGTGGTAGCAATGAGTGGAGATTCTGGGCCCTGAATCCTCTGGCCACCACCTTTCTTTCCAGCTTTATCTAGCATAAGACGGTTTCTGTGTCTCTCTGCTCCAACTGCACAGTTCTGATTCTTGATGTTTATAGATACTTATTCTTCTGTTTATAGATACTTTGCATATGCTGTTCCCTTTGCCTAGAGAAGTTATCTAGTCATTTCTTGTCAAGTTAATCCCTTCTCATCCTCAGCTCAATCATTATTCACATGATGAAACTTTTCCTAATGTTCCTGACTAGGTTAGTTTCCTTCTGATAGCCTCTCCTTAGTGATAAGCATCATAGTTAGAAGTTTACATTTATCTGTAAAATTATCCCATCAATTTCTGCTTCCTCTGTAGTTGCAATCTCCATAAGGACAAAGACCTTGTCCATTTTTGTGCCATTATACACTCAATTACTAGCATAGTGCTTGAAATAAGGTGAATCTCAATAAATACTTGTTCAGTGACCTGGTATAGAATTAAACTTTGCTATAGACCAAATCAGAAATAGATATGAAGAAAGAAAAAACTATTTCCCCCACTTACACTAGAAGCAGATGACCTCTGAAATAGAAGTAGCCAGTATTCAGGTTGCATATCCATTCATTGAGTACTTTCTGTGTGCCAAGCTCTGAGCTAAGTCTTAAGGAAACACGATGAATGAGACACTGGGTATTGCCCTCATGCTGTCAGGAGCGATGTGTAAGCTAGTGATAATAATGTTGGTATAATAATAAGATAAGTGTGAGAATGTGTACAGTACATTGAGCATCCGCTATA